ATGTATCTAGAAAAACTATTGAGGTATAGGACTATTTTGTTTGTAAAGTACTAATAAGTGTTATTTTCCATTGTGGGTTTTATAAAAGTGACTTAATTTTTGTTACGGAAAGCAATGGGAGGAATCGTGAGAATTTAACATTTTTTAGCTAAAAGACGAGAATCTCCTCCACATTATTGATCAGATAACGGATTTAAAGGATACCAATGTGAATCGGGCATGGCCATCTTTAGAATAAAGAGTCATACGAAATACCAACGACCAAGATTTGTTTACTATTTTTTTTGATAAAATGTAACAGTGTACAATTATAGCACATATACAGAGCATAATTAAAAAGTATTGATTAACTTTCCTTGGAATATTAAAAAAACTCTCAATTTTTCACTTTTATCTAAATACCAAAAACAGATTAACTTAAAGAACTATTTTTCGAAAGTCCATGTAGCCAAAAAATCCATTATTAAGAAATTGAGTCTTGGCCACAAACTCAAATTTATAATCCCTACATCTTGGAAAACTGATGGTTTAAACCTTTGATATTTCCAACTTTATAATTTAAGTTCCAACAGATGCAGTTTGAAATATATAATGTCCAAGACATCAGAGTGTGTGGCAAAGACTCAGTTCCTTTAAACAGTAAAATAAATGTTTCTTTAGGATGCAATTAAAAAAAAAATTTAAAATTTTATCATTTATTTATTTAAGGTCCCTACGAGCACAACGGGGTACTGTATGTTGACCCAAGTGGTCCAAGTAATGTAAGTTTTTAAAATACGTAGAATTTTTAGTGATTAACAAAAAACTGGTTAATATCGCATTTGTACCCGGTGTACCGGTGTACCGGTGTAGCTGTGTGACCCCATTTTCCTAGTTTTAACAGGCAAGTTGATTTGATACAAATCAGGATCGTAAACTGGGAGGTGGGACTGAGCCAAACTGTAATGTAATGTAAATAATTATGTTTCAATGGGAGTGTTTCAACTTAAAACAGAACCTGAGCCCCTTTTCCACCCTCTAGAAAGACAAAAAGAAGTTAGACTCCCCCAGTTGGACATATTTCCAGTTCGCCCCTGATGCAAATCACAAAGATCCAAGGAACCCATAGTACAAAATGTTCAGTAAAAAGTCGGTATAGGACCGAACTTAACACAAAAATGAGGAAGCTAAAATTATTCTGTCACATATTAGATTTTCAAAACATGATTGTTCTTCAATTATGATTGAGAAAACATAAGATTTCAGTTTAACGTGAAATTTACTTTAGTTTGCCGTGAATCAACATTTACTTTAGTTTGCCGTGAATCAACATTTACTTTAGTTTGTCGTAAATCAACTTGCCGTGAATCAACATTTACTTTTGTTTGTCGTGAATCAACATTTACTTTAGTTTGTCGTGAATCAACATTTACTTTAGTTTGCCGTAAATCAACATTTACTTTAGTTTGCAGTGAATCAACGTTTACTTTAGTTTGTCGTGAATCAACATTNTTTACTTTAGTTTGCCGTAAATCAACATTTACTTTAGTTTGCAGTGAATCAACGTTTACTTTAGTTTGTCGTGAATCAACATTTACTTTAGTTTGCCGTGAATCAACATTTACTTTAGTTTGTCGTGAATCAACATTAACTTTAGTTTGTCGTGAATCAACATTTACTTTAGTTTGTCGTGAATCAACGAGTCTTCCACCGGGCAACCACAATGAAGCCTGACGAGGTAAAGTAATATTTTTTTATTTTTCATTTTTTGAATCAATTAAATGTTTAAAACAAGATTTTTTTATTTTTTATTTAAGAAATAAATAAATAAGAAATAGTTTGTTTAGGAAATAATTAAAATGGTTTGTTTAGGAAATTAATAAATAAGAAATGCTTTGTTCACAAAAAAAGAAATGTTTTGTTTGAGAAATAAATTAATAGGAAATGTTTTTTCCAGGGAATAAATTAATGAGAAATGTTTTGTTCGGGAAAAAAAATGAATGAGAAATGTTTTGCACAGAAAATAAATTAAAAAGAAATGCTTTGTTCAATAAATAAATGAATAAGAAATTAGTAAAAAGTCATGTTTTGTCTGTTAAATAAATTAATAAAAAGTGTTTTGTTGTTTTGTTCAATAAATGATTATTCTTAAGAAATGTTTTATTCCAGAAATAAATCAATAAGAAATGTTTTGTTCATGGAAATTAATAAATAAGAAATGCTTTGTTCAATAAATGAATTAATGAGAAATATTTTGTTCAGAAAATATATTAATAAGAAATGTTTTTTTGAAATAAATAAATAAGAATTTTTTTTTTTTCAGGAAATTAATGAATAAGAAATGATTTGTTCAAGAGATAAATGTGTAGGAAATGGTTTGTTTGTAAAATAAATGAATAATATATGTTGTATTTTTCAGGAAATGGACCGGTTCATGATGCGTCTCGCTTAATACAAATGCTTAACACCAAGCAGGAGAAATTCGCCAAACTAATACTCACGAACTCTCCTAAGCTTATTTGAACCTGCTTTACGATTAAAGACATATATGGGGGCCATGGCATCAACATATGTTAAATGTATTAAATATATAAAAAAATAAAGAATTTATAAATATTGTTATCAATGTAAACTCACAAATGGTCAGCTTTGTAATACCATTTTGAAAATATTTAAAAATAAATATTGTACAGTAAATCTACTATATCGATCCCTTATCAGCATTAAAGGATATACAGTATACAGTTTACATATTTAGCCCGCGTATTTTTAAGAGCCTGTACGTTTAATCTCAGTTGACTCTCACTGCAAATATAGTAATGCCCAATTCACAGTGATACCTCACGGGCAGCCGTAGTACATTTAATTTCCGAGCTCGGTCAACCTTTCCAGTCCCAGTTTGTACGGTTTCACACGGACATTGGGTAAATAAAGCAGACACTCAATAGGACTAGCCAGTGCAACAAGGTTGACGCGGTCAGACATTAGTTGACAATACTTTTACTAAAGGGTCAAAGGTGCGTGAGATTGACACCTGTAGCTGATCTGCAAGATATTAATTTTTTTTCTAGGTTTAACGTGTTTACTTCCTGCATGTTTTCTTCCAATTATAGAAATCGACAAAAACACAATAATTTAGAATTCTAAGCATTCATATAGATAATTCTTTCTTTATCAGATAAAACTTTTGCAAATCGGACATTGCCATCGTTCATTAAAGTTTAATGAATTTCAATGATATTTTGAAAAAGAAAAATAAAGAGTGTAAACTGTAGACAGTAGAGCAATTAAACAAAGGTGAAAAAAGAACAAACCTGAAAATAGAATAATAAAGAAGAATACATTACTAATTGTAAATAAACAAACTGAAGATTGAAGGAAATGTAGCTATATATAACTTTTTGGCAGACTATAATATTATAAATTTTTAATCAAAATTACAATAAAACTTCTGGAGGTTTTAAAATATTTTCTCCTGAAACACTTAATTTTGTATGTGTTTTTGTTATATTTCATATATAAAAAATTACTTACTACTTACCTAAATGAAAATCCATGACAATGAAACATTATTGAAAAGAGGCAAACAATGTTGATCAAGATTGTGATTATGTATTCTGACATATATTCAAGTGTCCGGGAAACATATAAACAGATCAGCGAATTTCAAGATGGAGGGGTGGGGGTTGAGGGACACGTGGGGTGAAAATATTTACGGGGGGTAATGTTTTTTGTAGATTTCACATGACAAAATTTATTTTTTTTCTGATTTTTATGTTATCATATTCTTATCGTCTATTATGTGTGTTTTTAAAATGTTTCAAAATCCCCGTATATCCCCCTTTCCCCCCAAGTAATATCGAATATTTTCAATATTCAAACAGTGCATAATTCTTATCATCACATCTTATCTTCGCAATGGCACGGACATGGGCGGGGAAGTCCTACTGTTTAGTTGTCTACAGTCCCTTTAATACCTGTTTAGTTGTCTACAGTCCCTTTAATACCTAATTAGTTGTCTACAGTTTCTTTAATACCTGATTAGTTGTCTACAGTCCCTTTAATACCTGTTTAGTTGTCTACAGTCCCTTTAATACCTGATTTGTTGTATACAGTCTCTTTAATACCTATCTAATTTGATGGAAATCTCTAGAACTAAAGAAATAAGGGTATAAAGTAATCTTGGAATTAATATTTCATGGTAGAGGATAGTGAAGAATGGCAGTGAAGGAATCTACGAAATCTTTATTTATTTGATTTACGGTGAAGAAATCTTTGATGGTTTTAAGAATCATCTCAATTATCAAATGATATGAAAAGAGTTTATAAAAAAATAGTGGTAATTTAAATAAATCTTTTAAAAGAATTTTTAATTTTTCGTAGATTTCGCATCTGACTTAAAGTTGTATTTATGTGTGACCAAACTTACTTTGTTTCATTCATTCAACATGTCTCAAAGCGTTAAGTTAAAAAGCGTGAACAAATTTTTTTTTGTTATAATTCATATTTTTCGGTATTTTTAGTTATATTTCCTCTTTTTCGGTATTTTTTGTTTTATTTCCTTTTTTTCGGTATTTTTTGTTATATTTCCTCTTTATCTGTTTTTTGTTATATTTCTTCTTTTTCGGTATTTTTTGTTATATTTCCACTTTTTCGGTATTTTTTTGTTATATTTCCTCTTTTTCAGTATTTTTTGTTATATTTCCTCTTTTGCGGTATTTTTTGTTATATTTCCTCTTTTTCGGTATTTTTTAGTTATATTTTCTCTTTTTCGGTATTTTTTGTTATATTTCCTCTTTTGCGGTATTTTTTTAGTTTCCAAAAACTATTAACGAATGCTATTTATGGTTTAAATTTTAGAAATGTTGTCTATTTAAAAATCTTTAAGCTGGAGATTTCTTATAAAAATTATGATCAACTTACTAACTAACTAACTAATTAACTAACTAACTATCTAACTAACTAACTAACTATAACTAACTAACTAACTAACTGACTAACGAACTAAATTTCATTTATTTAGAAGTTGAAATATGCGAAATGGTTTTTTAATCTGTGCTTTACTACTAGCTATATTCACCATAGTGGTAAGATGAAGAGTTTTCAAAAACCAGAAAAATAATTGAAAAAATTCAAATTCTTTTGTGTGTTAAAAAGAGAGTAAATTGTGTTATTTTTAATAAAATTGTGGTTTAACAAACTAATAAACCTTTGCTTTTGAGATCTTCAAGATTTTTTTTAGAGAGAGAGGGCATGAAGGCTTTGCCGCCCATCCTAAAATAAAAAAAAAACAAAGCAAGCAAGGGTCAACCTTTTCGGTCACAGTTTGTACTGTATCGCCCGGACATTGGGTAAATCAAGCAGACACTCAAATAGGACTAGTCGGTGCAACAAGGTTGACGGGGTCAGACTTTAGGATGAATTTACTTTTACTAAAGGGTCAGGGGTGCGTGCTACGCCTTTGTAGGGTTTAAATATGTTCTTATTGATAATTTTATCTACATACTGCTTTACTAAATTTGACTTTGTTTATATTTTTGGTAAATCGTTGGTTAATCGTTGCCTTTTTCGGAATTTTTCTTGTTAGAACCTCTCAAAGGGATTTCAAATATTAATTTTTTTCATAAAAAAATTCTGGAACTTGAGAACCCTGTTTTCTGATATTTCATAGTTAATTTTTAAATTTTGGAAATATTTAGAAATCTGGATCTTTGGAAGAGAATGCCAATATCATTCAAGATTTCTGGTAAAATCATTGAATAGATAAATATTTTGTAGAAAATAGATCAATAATTGTTTACCTTTTTTCCACCCAGAGGTTTATATTTTGAAGAATTCCCCCTTGCCCCCCCCCCCCCAACCCATCTGATTCCCTAATATTTTGTAGAAAATAGATAAATAATTGTTTACCCTTTTTTCCACCCAGAGGTTTATATTTTGAAGAATTGCCCCCCCCCCCCCCACCCATCTGATTCCCTAATAGTCTAAAGAGAAACGAAAAATTGGAAATCATGGTAAGTTGTTAATATGTTTTTTGTTGTTAATACTTTAACAACAAAAAACATATATTTCCCACTAAAGTTCTTCTTACTCCCCGAATTAAATTCAGTGAAAAAAAAACTTCAAAAATTCCTAATTTACTAAGAGAAAACAGTTTTGGTACAACCGTACAATACAAGACCGTGTTTTCAGCTCCCTCGTTGTGGCTGATGGCGCAAAACAAAGAGCACATTCTAAGGTCTGCCGGCTTCTCATGTAAGCGTACTTAATACTTTAGAGTAGAAATATTGATAGAACCATATTTCACAGTGATTTGTTTGGAAAAGTTTGTATACAAGGAAGGTTTCGGTGAACATTTTATTAATGTCTAGATGTTCATTATTCTTTGGCGGATTTTTGTGGTCTTATTTTTCCAACATAAAGGATATGCTACCAAGATTCCCAAAAACAATGGCCTTTATTCAATCCCCAGAATTAAATTCAACTTGGTCGTCTTTTCATGAAATGTTTTAAATCTGAGTTTAAAATATAAACTGACAATAGATAAATTAGTTATAAATGTGTCTGTTAGTTTCATTAATTTAACTTACCTTAAATTAACAAACTGAAAAAAGTAATGATTTATGCAATCCGTTTATATATACAGGGTGAGTCAAAAAAAAGTGTGATTTGCGGCGCGTTGTGCAAAATTGTATCTTTTTTGTGCAACTCTCCTGGAATGGTGTTTTTTATATTTTTTAAAAAATTGTAGTTTTGTTTGGGACTCCAACAAAAGTACAATTTTGCACCAGCGCCGCAAATCACACTTTTTCGACTCACCCTGTATATATATATATACTTTGCTTTTCTGGGTATCTTGATGTTTGTTTGTTTGTTTGTTTGTATTCAATAAACGTATAAAGGGCTTACTTTATCACTATAGTTTCAGTAGAAGTAAATATTTCCATTTACTATTTATTGCAGATTTAAGGATCCATCTCTAATTGATGGATAGGATAGATAGAAAGATAAACGTTACCACCAATTTCTATTGGTTCAGATTATACACAAAACACATTACTGAACCCTGATTGGATCAGACGCTAATGAAATCGGCATACAAGTGTGTTCTATAGCCCAACATTTTTTTTGGAAACCCGGAAAAGCTTTACGACAGGTCAAAGTTAAAAAACTTTGCCCCCCCAAAAAATGTTAATATTTATTATTTTTTAAAATGCACCAATTTAAAAAGAAAAATCCGCGAACACTAGGAATGATAAAAAAGGGGTTACTTTTATAATTCAAAAATAAAATTGTTAATTTTAAAGGTGGCGGGAAGCGTTCTAAAATACTAGTGGATTTATAATTGTAGACTAAAACTTAACATATGCATTTCCGCTCAAAAGGTCAACATTAGTTTTGTTTTAGGTGGCGCAAAATAATAAAAAGATCTGAAGAGCTGTTGGGAGAAGAAAGGGAAGATTTCTCAGAAGCCAAAGAACCAGTTTAGTATATTCTCAAATGAACTGTGGTTATAATATCACCTTATCCTCTATTTGATGCTCGATTCACAACAGAACCCTCTAAACCTTTACACCCAGTAATGTGAAAGAAAAAACAATTTCCTCTAAAAAGTCTGCATTCATTAATTCATCTTTGATCATATTAAGCTGGGAAGATAACTGTTGTGAGTCTGGCTGCCAATCTACAAATATTGATTTATTTTGAATTAGTCCACAGCATCAAATTTATTCTTTGCTTTTCTCTCAATATGAGCTCTACCGCCAAAGATTAAAGATTTGTTGATAAATTTGTATTTTAATGTAAAATGTTATTTTAAAATTCAATATTTTACAAGGTCAAGTTTTACCTGCGAGTGGCAAAGCAAGACCAGTTAAAGAAAAAAGACAACTTTTACCTAAGAATGGCCAAAAGAGAACAAACCCCGAAACAGGACCAGCCAAAGAGAAACGGTTTTTACCTAAGAATGGCTAAAAAAGATAATAATGCAGAAGAACATAGTTCTAACTTACAAATGTCAAAGTCAGAACAGCAGGAGAACGATGGCACATTCTTTATGCCAATGGCAAAATCTGAGCAGCCGGTAAATGATGGCAGATTTTACTTAAGAATGGCAAAATTTGAAAAACCGGTAAAAGATGCCAAAATCTATCTTCCAATGGACAAATTAGAACCGCAAGAAAAAGATGCTCAATTTGACATTCAGATGCCAAAATCTAAGCAACAAGTAAAAAAAGTTCCATTCTTCATGCGGATGGCAAAATCAGAACAGCCCCCAGTAAAAGATGGCCAATTCTACTTGCGATTGGCAAAATCTGAGCAGCCAGTAAAAGATGGCCGATTCTACATGCGAATGGCAAAATCAGAGCACCCCCAAGTAAAAGATGGCCGATTCTACATGCGGATGGCGAAATCAGAACAGCCCCCAATAAAAGATGGCCGATTCTACTTGCGAATGGCAAAATCTGAGCAGCCAGTAAAAGATGGCCGATTCTACATGCAGATGGCGAAATCAGAACAGCCCCCAGTAAAAGATGGCCGATTCTACATGCGGATGGCAAAATCAGAGCTGCCAGTAAAAGATGGGCGATTCTACATGGGGATGGCGAAATCAGAACAACCCCCAGTAAAAGATGGCCGATTCTACATGCGGATGGCAAAATCAGAGCAGCCGGTAAAAGATGGCCGATTCTACATGTGGATGGCAAAATCAGAACACCCCCCTGTAAAAGATGGCCGATTCTACTTGCGGATGGCAAAATCAGAACAACCCCTAGTAAAAGATGGCCGATTCTACTTGCGGATGGCAAAATCAGAACAACCCCAAGTAAAAGATGGCCGATTTTACATGCGGATGGCAAAATCAGAACAGCCTTTACTCCAAAACAATTCTGATTTCACTGCAGCAAATCTAGAATATCCACTAAGAGGTGCCAAGTTTTAGCTGATTACATGAAAAAAAGAAAACATCGAGAAAATGGCTGAAGATATTCTTTTAGGTAATAGAAACAATTAAGGACAAACACAAACCCTGAAAATTATTACTGGATTTCATGGATTTCATGGATTTTGTTGATTAAAAATTTAAAGCTTTTAAATATTTAATCTCATTTGTATATGACAATACAAAAATTGAACAAACCTCTAAATTGTAATATAGCTAATGGTCTAAACTTACATAATAAAAGAGTTAGAGGTCTAGAAAAATTATATTGATTATAGACACATGCATTTATTCTTTAAATTTAAACTTACACAATATTTCACCTCAATTAAAATGTCGCTTCCTTACCTTGTTAAGCTAATAACGTCTTTGTTTACGGCTGATTTTATCCATATACAGTGTATGGTAAATACAATCGGTTGATTTCGCCCATAGAGTGTTCGTACAATTATCTAATGTTCAAGTTTTACAGTTTCCCAGATGTATTAGGATGTTTTTATTAGAAAATATAATCTATTTATGTTTCATTTATGAGGAGGTTAAAGTACTTCAAAGGAGGTTAAAGGAGGTTTTAGGAGGTTAAAGGAGGTTATAGGAGGTTAAAGGAGGGTTAAAGCAGGTTACATGAGGTTACAGGAGGTTAAAAGAGGTTAAAAGAGGTTAAAGGAGGTTAAAGGAGGTTGAAGGAGGTTAAAGGAGGTTAAAGGAGGTCAAGGGAGGTTGAAGGAGGTTAAAGGAGGTTAAAGGAGGGTTAAAGCAGGTTACATGAGGTTACAGGAGGTTAAAAGAGGTTAAAAGAGGTTAAAAGAGGTTAAAGGAGGTTAAAGGAGGTTAAAGGAGATTAAAGGAGGTCAAAGGAGGTTAAAAGAAGGTTGGAGGAGGTTAAAGGAGGTTAAAGGAGGTTAAAGGAGGTTAAAGGAGGTAAGAAAAGAGGTCAAAGGAGGTTAAAGGAGGTTAAAGGAAGTTACAGGAGGTTAAAGGAGGTGAAAAGAGGTTAAAGGAGGTTAAAGGAGGTTAAAGGAGGTTAAAGGAGGTCGAGGGAGGTTAAAGGAGGTTAAAGGAGGTCATACAAGGTTAAAGGAGATTAAAGGAGGTCAAAGGAGGCTAAAAGGAGGTTACAGCTAGGAGGTTAAAGGAGGTGAAAAGAGGTTAAAGGAGGTTAAAGGAGGTCAAGGGAGGTTAATGGAGGTTAAAGGAGGTAAAAATAGAGGTCAAAGGAGGTTAAAGGAGGTTAAAGGAAGTTACAGGAGGTTAAAGGAGGTGAAAAGAGGTTAAAGGAGGTTAAAGGAGGTCAAGGGAGGTTAAAGGAGGTTAAAGGAGGTTAAAGAGGTAAAAAAGAGGTCAAAGGAGGTTAAATGAGGTTAAAGGAAGTTAAAGGAGGTTAAAGGAGGTTAAAGGAGGTTAAAGGAGGTTAAAGGAGATTATAGGAGGTTAAAGGAGGTTACATGAGGTAAAAAAAAGAGGTGAAAGGAGGTTAAAGGAGGTTAAAGGAGGTTAAAGAAGGTTAAAGAAGATTGAAGGAGATTATTATAGTAGGTTAAAGGAGGTTAAAGGAGGTTAAAAGAGTTTAAAGGAGGTTAAAAGAGATTAAAAGAGGTTATATGAGGTTAAAGGAGATTATAGGAGGTTAAAGGAGGTTAAAGGAGGTTAAAGGAGGTTGAAGGAGGTTAAAGGAGGTTAAAGGAGGTTAAAGGAGGTTAAAGGAGGTTAAAGGAGGCTAAAGGAGGTTAAAGGAGGTTAAAGGAGGTTAAAGGAGGTTGAAGGAGGTTAAGAAATACGAAATAAGAAATGAAAAATATAAAAAAGTATTACTTTCAGCAGGATTCAAAGTATTTGACAGAACTTATTTTCCTTAAAACATCTTATTCCTTTCTTAAAGGGACTGTAAACGTATTTTCAAGTAATTTTTCATGGAAAGATGGCAATGCCCAAATAGATTCTAGTACAATAGATGGCAACGTAAAATGTGTACACTCTCAGTACAGCTGTATTATGACGTCACAAGTGTCAACTCAGTTTGTGTGTCAGACAAAATTATTAATAATAATGATAATAATTTTAGAATAAAATGCTTATCTTAGACTAAAATAAGTACAATTTTTATGTGTTTTTTATTTTCTGTGTTTAAACTTTTTTATTTATTCTTGGAAAACATGTAAACTAATTTGAGAAAATTTTGTTTTCCTTGTTATATTTGACACTTGTGACGTCGTGTATAATTGGTCTATTTCTCTGTTGCCACCTATTGTACTTGATCTATTTGACAATGCCCTATTCACAGCGCGACGACCTTGGGACCATTTTCTGATTAACAATGCAGTCAAAATGCACAAATCACTTGTCTGTTTGTATCCAATAAACGTCAAAACGGCTGAATCGATCTGGCCCAAATTTTTTGGTACTTCATGTGATCAACGGGAAAGTTTATGGATGATCGAATTTTCAAAAATTTGCTTCTGACAAAATTCGATTTTTGAAAAAAAATTGAAAATCCACGAAATTTTTGTTATGTTTTACAATGTATACAAATGTTTTACAATGCAGAGAAAATTTTTACAAGTTAAATATAAGATGGGCACGAAGCGCTCTAAAAGCCTTATTATAATAATAAATATGAATAATTCTGAAATGAAATG